TAAAACATAATGTCTGAGATTGTTATTGAAAGCCAAGATATCTTAGACAATTTGATCCGAGTCAACGGTAGAAATATCTGGCAGGATGAGATCTGATTAGAAATTAAATGAAATGGGGTTTAACATCCTATTTTTCCCCACCAACCATCTGATTAGAGATTTGGCACATTTCTTCGTCATGATGAAGTATTCTGTTTTAATTATGGTACTTAAATTTTGGAAGTATATGGAAGTAAAAATAATATATAGTACTGATTTGGGGGGGGGGGGGTTGTGAGGAAACGATATTTTATTTCAAATGGATGGAAAAGGATCAGGGAACAGGCATAGCCTAGATCATCTCTATCCTGATTCTGTAAGGACGACATACTTTCACATTCACAAGATTTGTAATATCAATGAAATATTTGATTATATATTTCTGGTACTGAGAATGAAATAGACTATTATCTCTCTGGATAACAAGAAGTTAAAGGATGTTTTTTTTTGTAAACCAGTATCTTTTTCACCCCTTAACATGAATGTCAATGGCTACACACATGATTGAGTTTACTGAAGGTGCATGTATTTGTTGTCAAGTTGTTACCATAGTAGATGTGACTCATAAAGATATCGACATAAAAAAACCAATGAACTGTGTAAAGAAATGCGTTGAATAAAGGGTTTTTCCCTTTTGCAAAAGTGTGTATAAATACTAGCTGTTACTTATATAAATATGTCAATGAATTGAATCAATATGTGTGGTATATGTGTTCGTGTGTCATCTTATGTATATAGAAAATATGAATAGATGATCCAGTTAATGCATGTAAAATCCTTAGATCTTCATATTGAAAGGAAGAACAGTTTATTTAAAGGAGCTAAACCTCTAACTCAATATTTTCCATAATATTCAAAATAAAAACATGAATTAGAATTCAGTATGGTCCATTTCAATCTATATTCATGTTGTTATCTTGCCATGAAAATATGAGATCCTAATATCCAATATTTAAGACACGATGAACATTTTAAAATCATCTCATTTGTAATAAACAAAGAAAAACATATCCTAAAATAGACAATGCAGAAGTAATTAGTAATGGCTTATTCACAAACAACAAAATAATAATAGCAAAAAAAACATATAGAATGAATGGACTCAGCAGGCATAAACGACTGGCATTCAATAATTAGACATAACAATAATTTCTTTAACAATTGAATATAAATCACTTTATAACCATTCATGTTACATTAATACATGTATGTGCTATTAGACCCATTTTCATCTGTTTTAAGGTTCCCAAATATGAGAGCTATACACCCTTTAAATTAATTATTTGAATTTCATGAAAGATTTCAATCTAAATATAGTAATTATTAGTGTATTACACATTGCGCCGTGTTTGAAGGGACTGTCACGTATTCAAGAAACATTGATTCATAGATTAGTCAAGTTTAGATTTATAAATCAGATACATTGACGATTCATCAACTTGTCATCACCCATCGGCCGCTGTTTACAAACGTTGTCATAATAAATTTGTCAGAATATATCATTTTATCCCAATCTGTGCTGATATGCATAGCGTACAATAATTCCAGAAAGATTAAGAATAATTTTTTTGATTAATTTGATACGAGAGATTAATATTTATACTTTACGTATTATCAACAGATCCTGAACCAAAGTCCGGACATTGACAAAAGTCAGCTGATTCAGTGAGTTGTAAATATATAGGTGATATTATTTAAATATTAAACATAACGGTATCAGCTAAACTAACCAATGCTACTTGCCATCTGTGACTTTGTGACATATATGTAGCAGGAAGACTCTTTTTGGATTCCATCATCTGCTGGGATACAAACATGAGATACAAATAAATATTTCTGAAAGTAGAAGCTTTATTTAGCAGATTAATTAAAATTTCAAAGGGCCAATTAGAATTGTTTTTTTTTTTTAAATCTATGTTGGTTTGAATAAATTAGATGTATATATACATGTATGGTACATGTAATTGGAAATTACATCATTGATGGTTTAAATATTTGGGGTTTTGATCCCCTGCTTGTACGTGACAAGGCATAGGTCGTCTGTCCGACTTTGTATTTTCGCCACTGCTAAAAAAGAGTAAAGACCCCTACATAATGTATGTGCAAGCAATTATTGACATAAAATTAAACCATATGTTAGTCTCGAAATGACCTAGTTTGTGTTGAGTGGAGGCTAAACCTCATCTGTCTTTGGTTTAAATATGACAATCAACATGTATGACCTGAGCAAGTATAGACACATCATATCTTACTCATAATTTCATGACAGTCACATGAATACTTCTAACTATTTATTATTTATTTTTGATAAAAAAAATTGTGTTTAGGGGTAGGCGTAGGCCTTTGTACATAGGTTAAGTATTTAGTCGGGGAGGGCCCTCTCTATTCATGCTGCATTGAGTTTCAAATGTAAGAGAGATATTAAAAACACTGATTCAGTAAGCCATTAAACTGAGTCATGTCAATAAAAGATATTCCTGATAAATATTTTAAAAGATTATAAGATTAAAAAAAGAATTATTGTATGGCTAGGTGTTTTATGAAATGTACAATGTCTACGGTATTAAGTGTGGTCTAGGTGAATGTGGATAGGTGTTGGTGACAATTGATGAATGTACATGTATGTAATTTACGAGATTTCATAAGATATAATTGATACATGTATATTGTTTTATTATTGTGAATAAAATATATTCAAATTGATTTTATGTCTTTATACAAAATTTCAATACGTCATTAATCCTGGCAGAATGTCAAATAGTTGACCTAGTTATAGTTGTGTAAATATTGAGGTAAGATCGAGATGAATTTGATAATTTCAAGTTTAGTTTACTACATGTATAGTACAGATTGATTAAAGTCATTGTATGGGAAGAAAATATATACTTCTCGTCTTCATTAGCCCAGTCTATGCAGAAAAGTAGGATGTTAAAACATCAATGTATACTTAAGATTATGTCATGATTTTTAAATTGTATGGGTATGCAACAAGTACTGTAGAGAGGACAGAGTGATTATATAGGCTTTGCGTATTTCCCCTACTTGTAGCATAAATAGAAAAATGTTCATGTAAAAAAGAAATGTACTGTAGACGATGTGTACATATCCCATCTTCATTTGCCCAGACAGTGCAGAAAATTAGGATGTAAAACCCCATTTCATTTCAATTGCATAGATATGCAACAAGTACTGGCTTTGCATGTTTTTTTTTCCAATAACATTAATAAAATGATGTTTGTAAAAAAAAGTACTGTAGACAATGTATACTTCTCTTCTTCGTCAGCCCATTTGGTGCAGAAAAATAGGACGTTAAGCCCCATTACATTTCATGTCAATGTATACATGTACCTACGTCATGATGATATGTAAATTGTATAGGTGTGTAATTAGTACTGTACGCAATACTTGCGTCATAATATGAAAGTTGATATTCATACAAATATATCACATTTGTTAAAAATTGTAAAGCTTTAAGATTTTGGGTCACTTCTCCCCATTCATATATACAGTTATTGGAATAATTATAAGTAATGTAAGGTTTGAGGTTATTTCTACTTCTAGTTTGAATATCACTGATTCCAAATATTTACAATTTAAAGAGGAAATCTATCGGTATATACTTGACTGATCAGTGATAATTTTTCCTCTAGATATTCCACTTCTAGTCTAGGTATACCTTTTCTCAATTACTGAATAAAATAACAAATAATATGAGAATGAAACCTGCATGAGAGATATAGTTAGCGAAATGGGGTCCTGCTCCATCCTGGCTAATGATGACAGGCATCATGCAGTATGCTATGAGGGAAGTGTTACCCGGACATATTATAGCAAGAATGGCCGGCTCTTTATCTAAATCCTACATAATGCAGCTTTAAACAGTATAATAATTAATACCTTGATGATTCATCATTCAAATCTTTTAGAAGCAGATAATTAAGTACTGTCGCGAAGAAGTTATCTCCATTTTTGATGAAAAAAATATTCATTAATATTAAAGAGGAATTATCACTTTCATCAAGAAAATTAATGTAATGAATTTTGAACCATGTCTTAATTTCTTGTTTGCTAATCACCAAAATGCTAAAGCCTCTTTAAATTATATAAAGATAGAAAATAGAACTTGTTCAACTTGTTATTAATTACTGATATTCAGTTTATTGTTCTCTAGAAATAAAATAATTTATTTTACCATTATTCTGATAAAATTACTTAATCACAAATATTGATTAATGGCTGACAATAAATGTATAATTTAATTATATAATGTTCTAGATGTTATCACATCCATATACATGTAAATAACACAATATTAATAACATTTGAGCTAAGTCTGAACTGTCCGAGAGAAAATGAAACAGGCCTCATGCTGGTTGTGTATCCATTACAGGATATGCTGGGGTATTACAACTCTAGTTGTATCCAATGGGATTCTGGGGTGTTAAATTGGGCCATGGTTCACTCTAGTTGTATCCAATAGGATTCTGGGATAATAAGTTGGGTCGAGGTTCACTCAAGTTTTATCCAATAGAATGTGTTGATATTAAGTTGTGATATTAAATTGGGTCGGGATTCACGCTAGTTGTATCCAATAGGAAGTTGCGATATTGAGTTGTGATATTAAATTGGGTCAGGATTCACGCTAGTTGTATCCAATAGGAAGTTGCGATATTGAGTTGGGATATTAAATTGCATCAGGGTTCACGTTGGTGATATTGAATTGGATAGGGGACTACGCTTGTTATATCCTATCGAATGTTGCAGCATCATTTGAGACTTGATAAAATTTAATATGTGCTTTACGACACATATCTGTCCATTTTAAGGTTCCAAAGATTAGATATTAAGCACCTGTAATATATTTTTGCATTTTAGTGACCATTTGCAATAATCCCAGTGCACGAATAATTTTGTCTCTCTATTTGCCAAATTTAATGAATGTTTTTATTGTATATTTACAGGTTTTATTAGTTGACAGTCGATCATTTCTAGAATATAATACAAGTCACATACAACAAGCTGTCAATGTTTGTGGTTCAAAGCTAGTTAAACGACGATTACAACAGGATAAGGTATGTACAACTTTAATTATTTTTGTGAAATCAAATAAAATGGGGTCTAACGTCCTACTGGTCTGTTCTGGCTTGACTAATGAAGATGGGCATACACCTTACAGTGTGCTGTACACAGGACCTCGATTTTTCATACCATCAGAGCGACTATGCATTGTTCCGTGCCAGGCCGTCTGTTCTGCTACACTGACAAGCACTTTCTCGCCCAACACCGCAATCGAACATTGGCCCTGTTTGTTGAGTGGATGTTAAACCCTAGTTTACTATCTCGCCTTCAGTGGTACCAGTAAGTTTTGACCTGGAGTGCGGACATGGTTAGGTTATAGCACTGTGAACCAAAAAGTAGGATGTCCTCTGTTCAGTAGGACATAGCATCACTGTCCGGGCAAAATTTTCCTCATAGCACACTTTATGGCGTTGCTCGTCTTAATTAGCCTAGTTGGTGCAGAAAAGTAGGATGTTAAACCCCATTCCATTTCTGTTCAGTTACTGATGCTTTAATAGACCTTGAGGATTCTTTTGAACCAGATCTGCATCAATCTTCATTAACCTTGACCATATGTCTAATTTACATATCAGTACAGAATATGAATATTGAATTCCAATATATAAAGTGCATTCAAAAGATGCATAAGCTTCTGCGACTGAAATATTTGTTAGATCCAGCTCATTTTTGTTTAGTTTCTTGACGAAATACCTCATCCAAAAACTGAATGATAAAATGAAATGAATCCGAAAAAGTAGCTGAAATATTAGTTAATGAGACTAGGTTGAGTTCATTTTTATTCGGTTTTGTAGCGAACACCGAATTCAGAAAACAAATGATAAAAGAAATTATTTTATACAAATAAAAAAAATTAGGTCAAGTGCTATTTTCTACCAGTAACAGGGCACCTTAACCAGTAGAGACTGCAATAAATACAAGATGACTCAATCATTTCTTTTTTTTTTTGTTATCAAGAATTGCGAAAACATGGGAGGATTGCAATAAACTTCTGTGTGTATCTCTGTATTCCTATGATTATATATCAGCAAGATGTATGATGTGCGGACTAATTGTCCTGTCTGGTTTGCTTCATGATTAATGTTCAACCAGTAAAATTACCTTTGTTAACCTAGAACAAAACATTATTTGTGCTCCAGTGATTGCCTTCTACTGCTATTTGTTTATTATATTAGTTTCATTAGGTTGAAATTAATCAACTGTGTACTACTTGTTCTCTTGTATTTCTCATTTTTCAAGCCAAGAAATTTCAGAAATGTCCATTCATTTGTGGTGGTTAATTTTATTAAAGTTGCTAGCTGTTTCAGTTTTTTTGTTGTGAGAATAATTGCTATCCTTATATAATATATTGGACTATGGTATACAAAGAGACTGAGGACCCTTTGGAACTAAATGTTATTGTTTAAACATGTATGCTATTTGGTGCTACAAAAGCTTTCAATGTGGTATGAATTCAAAAGATATAGTCATATTGGTCAACAAGATGTTTTAATACTAGGAGAATTTCGAGAGAAAATACTTAATTTTCATATATCATAAATAATTTTTTTTTTTAAAAATGGTAGACTCTACTAATTGGTGAAAATCCAAATAATCTCATTGTTCATGAGTGTCCGTTGAATTTTAAGTGATTGAAACATCTTTGAACCATTGACAAATCTATCTCAAAATTTGTATATTTTTTTTTTATTAAAATTGACTAACAACCAAAATCTTTAAGTCCTGGTGCCTCTTTAAGACATGTTTTATAGAAATGTCGTGGACTAAAAAAATGTTTATAAGCATTATAAAGATTCAAGTTTTTAAGAATTGCAGGATTTGGTAATGCCATGCTCTGAATCTGCAGTTCCAGGAGTATTACATGTACATATAACGCCTTTTTTTTTTTCTTTTGAAAACGTAACCAATTAATTATTTCCATATATTGCGACATGTAACAAAATGAATCATTTTTAAATCACTATTAGTGTCTAGAATCCATTATGGACAAATAAAGAATATATCTCCTTTTATTCAAGTTGTCTTCATTGGACTTTATTTATTAAAATAGCTATGATCAATATTCATTTTATATGACATCAATGGTTTGGGATGAGTCACAGATGCAACCAATCATAGGTAATTAGTTCTTTACGGTCTTCTGGTCCTCAAAGATGACCATAGCAACCATTCCCATGACAACTTGATTCTGTAAGCCATATTTACTGTATTATGATCATAGAAGGAATTTACCATCAAAGGTGAAGTTAATCAAATAAGTTATGTACATTCTACATACCAGTACATGTATTCATATTTATTTAAGTCAGACATATTCCTCCATTTAGTCATCGTCCTCTTAATTATCCAAAAGAAAATTTGAAATTTATCTGTGGAACTTTGAATTGTGATCGAATGACATTTATCCCTCAGGGCTTTACCAGACATAAATACTTAATTAAATTAATTTCTAAATGGATATGTCTATTCAATAATTTAGTATTACAAGATGAAAATATTTTTAACGGTTGGGTTCTACTGTTTGTGGAGGTTGGGGGCCGAAAGGTTAGATCTTAAGGTCTGCCATTGAGTTAAGTGGTATGGCTTTGATTGCACACTTAAATGACAAAGAAGTCAGGCATCTGCCATACTGTGATTTGGGAATAATTTTGTCCGAACAACGGCGATATAACCTAATCTTATTTCGAATTCCAACTGTCAAGGGTTATTTCATGTGCACACCAACGTGTACATGTACACATGACCTTGATTTTTTGTCCCATCCGTATCTACCTTGAAAGATCCTGTGGAACTTTTCGGTCAGCACTGGGATCGAAACCAGGACCACCTGGTTAATGTGCCAGAGTCTTTCTCACTGAGTCACCACTTCCAACTAAACATTATTGAGTTGATTTATGTAATTTTAGTCATAATACTAGGTGTGGATAGTGTTTGATCATCACTTTAATTAGCAGAATACTGGCCATTCGATAAGAGCCGTAATCTATTTAGACCATAGAAATTGATTTTGTTAGATATTTAACAGTTATTATAAATGACATTAATGTGAATGTTTCTTTGAAATGTAGAGGGGATGGGGCTGAATTGTTTAACATGTGTACTTTAGATTATAAGATCTGTCATTGAGTCAAGTGGTGTGGTTTTGATTCCCTGCTTGTACATGGCAAGGAGTAGGGTTGCCTGCACAGTCTCACAGGTTTTCTCTAGGCCCTCCCATTGCTAAAGACCCCTGTGTGCAAGTAAATTATTGAAATAAAATTGATCCGTCTATTTTTCACTCTCTTTGTAATGTGATAAAGAAAAGAGATTTAATTGATTTATGTGTATCACACCTGAAAATATTTTGACTCTAGTAGTGTGTTAGTCGTGACTAGAGTGGTTAACTATTATTTGCTCTGACTAATCACTAACAAGGATGAACGAGAGATCATTTTTTGGTCAATATCGCCAAAAATATCGCAAAAGGTGACCAATAAGGAAAGATATGTTATAGACATGTATAAATCTACACATCATATCAAAAATAAAGATTTCATACAGAATTTATTGATAAGTAACACCTCTATTATTAGCCATGGTTCAGGTGATAAGTAGCACCTCTATTATTAACCCGTTAAGCGTGACGTTTTTAAAACGTTAACTACCCCCTATTGTGTAATTAATTTGACGAAGTGACGAAGAACTATGTACTATGTTCTAAGAATAGGTTGGGGAAAATACCTCCAAGGCGTTATATTACGCCCTACACACAGTGAGTGGCAGTAGCCAGGACGTTATATAACGACCTAAGCACTTAACAGGTTAATCAAGATTCAGATATTCAAGGATCATCAGAACTGTCATTGAGTCGAATGGTGTTCTGATCCCAAGCCTGTACGTGACAAGGAGAAGAGTCACTTGCCCACTCTCATGGGCTTTCTCCGTGTCATCTGGTTTCCTCCAACTCAAAAACAATGAAGATTCGTTAATTGAATAAGTTAGCCACTGTTGTCGTATTACAGGTCAATACGATTCTGGTGCCAGATTCTAGTGGTCTATCTTCCATTTCTAATTTCAGACATAGTGTGGGAGAGATTATCACTGATATATCAATTAGGTCTAGCTACATCACATGAGATATGAAATTGTAGATATTTTTGGTGCACAGTTGTGATTCTAGTAGTCAGACTTCCTGTATATACATGTATTTTGATGCACAGACACCTGTTGTTGGAATCACTATTTCTGTTCTTTATTATTGCATTACTTTGATAGTATTACAACCTTAGTGTGTGCTGTGTGGAAGATAGCAGATAACTTTCTTTTTAACTGATAAAATATTAAAGTAACGATGCAGAATTTGCGTTTTTGATAAAATATCATATTTCTCACGGCTAAATCCACTCGATTATTTAACATCTAACTAAGAAAATAAAATTAAAATACAAATTCTAGATAATCTCCCACCTTGGATTTAATCTGATTTAGACTAGGCTTCTCCACTACCAATAAAAGATAGATCAATGGAATTTCAAGTTATCATAACTTTGCAAATATTGAATGGAATTGAATGGATTAAACTTTCAAAATTGTAGTTTTCAAGGGATTCATATAGCGCTAAATGACGTATCAAGGATTCAAGCAAAGGGTCACCTTGTAAAACTCATAAATTCAGGTAAAGTCAGGTTTGATTCCTAATTTGCTGTTCAACATAAGTATTTTATCAACATGTACCTTGAAATGTTTAAAGAGATCTTTTATTAAAGTGGCAAAGAGACTATGAAAACCAGAATAGTTTGTCTTTGTTAATCTCCTTTTAATCCAGCTAATTGTTGAATATGTATATTAATTTAGAAATTTTGACATTTAAAGCTCTGTTCTAGCAATAGTTTTAAACTGTTTCTCTGTCTTTCTTGCTAATTGTGGTACTGTAAACAAATATTATTGTGGTAGCTATAACCAATTTAAAAATTAGAGTTTTCAAATATTGTATTTGAGAAATATTCAATAAGTTTGTAGATGATGATAATATAGTATGTTTTAACATGATGCAAAAGTGTCTAGAAGCAGTTGGTTTTTATAAATTAATAACCATATTACTACTTGAAGTATAAATTAAAACATTGAAAAGTGCATTAAAATAATGAATTGGCGCTTTTATGTTATCTTGAAAGAAAAACCGCATTTCATATATTGGTGCGTGCTTATCTAATGTATAAGATTAGAGAATAAATTTGAAAGGTATCAAACACAAGTTGTATGAATGACATACATTTAGCATAATATTATCACATGTTGAAACATAGTTACACTTTGTGGTTTAGTTATGATTCAGGCCCTGTCATCCCAATCTTTGATTGTATGCTCCTACCATTCAAGTACATGTATAGATAGGGCCGTAGTAATGTTAGAAAGTAGGATATTATATATATGTAAAAAGAGACGAAATAAACATAGTGGTTTTTCTTACTCAATAAGTGTAACACCTTTTGTTAAGTATGATAACAGACATATTTTATCCAGTCATATAACCTTACATACTATAATTTGTAGTAAGCAGTGTACTAATATAGTACAAAGAGATAAAGTATACATATAAACATAGACCAATGGTTTATGTTATGGTGTGGAGAATTTGGGCGTTCTTACTAGGTACTAGTATATGTATACAACATGATGACTCATACACCCAATAAATTAAAAAAAGAAGTCAGTTAATTCTTGTTGGTAAATTACTTACAGTGTTGATATATTAAATAGGACTCATCATATACATGTAGGTAATAACTTGTTTGATTGACAATAGTTGTTTAAATATTAAAGTATTTGTGAGGATTGATGACCTGCTGATGATGGCCACCTTTTTGTTGATCGTTACAAAAGACATAAAAAAATGACTGCTTTCGCAATGGAGAAATGAAATGGGGTTTAAAATCTAACTATTCTGCTCCAACCAGGAAATTTGCTATTTGGGTAGTTTTGCTCAGACTGCAGCATTTACACCTACTCTCATCGAATCAAGTTGTCAATAGATTTTTTCGTGTGCACACCAAAAGGTACACAGATGGATCACGTTTTTTTTTGGTCCAATTTTGAAAAATCCTAAGCAACTATCACGATGAAATCCTCCAGGACAACTTGGTCAGTGAGCCAATGCCATATATACCAAGCCTACAGATACAACATCGGCTACTCATTCACAGAAACACAGTGGCGTTGAGTCAAGTGACATGGTTTTAATCCAAAGATTGTATGTGACAAGGAGTAGGGTCGCCTGCCTAACCTCATGGGTTTTCTCCAGGTCTTCAGGTTTCCTCCGACTGTTAATTAAAGACCCCTACGTACAAATGAAATATTGAAATAAAATTGAACCATGTATACATTTGAAATCCATTGGCTTCAGACCAGTGTATCTGTACCTGGTTATCAAATGTCACACATACAAGTCTGGTCAAAATTACTAACCTAATTAACTCACATGTTCAATTGTCTTGTTCCAGACTTTGTACATTAAATATTACCTTAATGTAATGTGGTGTTTTCTATTTAAAGCTCTTCTTACATGTCCTTGTCATATTGTATTAAAGGGCTTAAAACAATATATCAATTATATCTTATGAAATCGTCGTAAATCACAAATATCCATTAAATGTCACCAAAGACTACCTTTTTTCTGGCTTCAAATGTTCTATGAATAATTATTTAGACATTTGTTCACATGACAAGCCCATAATCCACTCTTGAGACCATCGGATGTCTGACATATTTATTGGATTAGACAATGTCTGTCATATCTTCTTTAAAGTGGAAAATCAAAACTTTGTTTATTATTGTAGCGGTGGTATTTGACATTCAAGACTAATTATGCTATTTCTTGTCAAAACTTCAAACATTCACACACTTCACTCAGAATAAAGTAACTTGAATGATATGTATTCATTTTTCATTATCATTTTTTGAACTATTATAGAAAGAACGACCAGCTCTTTATCAAAATCCCACATAAGGCATCTTTAAATGACCATAAATAGATATATATATGTTCTTTGCATTGCTATCTTTAAACTAAATCTTACATATTATATGTAATGCATCTTTAAATGCGCTTTAGATCATAAGGTCTGTTCTCCGGTTTACTCTAACTGCTAAAGATGCCTATGCACAAGCAAATTATTGAAATAAAATTGAATCATATGTTAGTCCTGAAATGACCTAGTTTGTGTCAAGTGGAGGTTAAACCCTATTTCTTTGTCTCTTTTTTAATGTTACAGTTAGATGATTTTCTAGTCATCTACAACAACCAGACATTTGTTATCCAAAGTCAATATTAAGCTAATAATAATGTTGATACTGGGTCATGGTAAAAAATCTGAAGAACATGGTGATAGAAATGAATGTTGATGTTCCTTATTTCACACCTAGTTTTTTAGATTTATTATGTTTGAAGAAATGAAATGAAATAGGATTAAATATCCTATGTTTCTGTACCGACTGGGCTAAGTCATGCGTTGTTGGAAATTTTGTCCTGACAGTGGCATTACATCCTACTCGTATTTCTAATTCCAACTTTTAAGGGATCTTTTACATGCAGGGGGGTTGGGTGGTGGAATGGTCCAATGCATGTGCTTTAGATCATACGGTCTGTCATTTAGTCAAATGGCATTGCTTTGATTCCCAGCTTGAACTTGACAAGGAGTAGGGTCGCATATCCAACCTTTGGTTTTTCTCTGGGTCCTCTGGTTTTGTCCCACTTCTAAAGACCCCAACGCGGAAGAAAATTTTTACAATACAATTGAACTAATAGTTTCGAACTGACCTATTATTATGTGCATGTATGTGTGATTGAGCGGTTTTCAGTTCATACATGTATGTTTTAAAAAGTCATTCTTCCGATTCCCGTAAGTAAAACCCATAGCATTATTTTATAGACAAGAGTATTGGCTTTGTAAGGAAATAAAAAAAAAGTGTTTCTTTGGAAGGGAAATAAAAAAAGGAGAGAATTTTTTATTACAGTGTGTAAATGTCAGGCTATTTATTTACGAACAAATAAAGTGAAATAACAACTATTATTTAAAACAACTGATGAATTATTCATGATCACTGTGTATTAGGTCATTAATATTAGGCCTCACCAATTTGATTTTCTATTCTTTGGGGACTTGATAAATAAAAAGCTGCTTGAATCATGTGAATGATGTTTTATTTTAAAATTTGGAACTGAAAGCTTTTGAACAGCACAACCAATTGGTTTTTAAAGTTACAATTTCATATTTTTAAGTTATATTTTTAAAATGTATTAAAATAAAGCCCTAAAATGGATGGTATCTATAAACAGTCCTACCTTGTTAAAGAAAAATCCTATAATTCACTATTGCCAGTTGAGGAATTGGCAAAAATATCATTTTCAACATCAAATTCAAACGTTTGAAGATAGCTATTCCATGGTGGGGAATAGGAAAACAAGGGAGGTAATTGTGTTATTATTTCCGGTGTGAAGATTCTTAAGTGTGAGAAAGATAACCTATGATCGTATAATAGTGAGTTGACAACCTATTGAGCAAAAGACATAGAAATAATTATGTTTTGACCTCCTTAGAACATATGAAATTGCAACTTTAAATAAGTTTTTTTTCCAAAAGAAATAAGAAGGAACATTTTAACAGTTGTTCCCGAAGAACAAAAAATCGAATTGATGTGGCCTTATTATTGTACATAATAATTTCTATGGGGTTAATTGTGGAAGATTTGTTTTTCAAAATAGTCACATATGGGTACAAATATATGTAATGGAAGTAAAATTCATCCCAACATTATGATTTTGATTGTATTCATAAACAAAAAGGAATTAACCAGATGAATTAGATTTTTCAAATGTGAAATATTGTTTCTATACATGTATATTTAGTGCAGCAAATAGAACAATGAAATTTACTTTGGTTGAATTTACTTATAGATATAAGTTTTACGTGACATTTTTAACGTTGTGCCAGATATTTATTAAATGTATCAATAAAAGAACAAGAAGACAAAATGACAGACACCTCTGTGACAAGTGGTTTATTTTCAGACTTGGTTCCATTTGAAAATACTTCATTATACAATATGATTCTCTGCTTGATATCAACTATATAAACTTAAACTCTATAAGGAGCCATGGTGGCTTCGAGAATATGTTGCTGATTGACTAATCAGGAAATCCCCAGGATTTTCTAGTGTGGTTTCTCCTTGTCAATGTTGCAGGATGGATGGGATGGGATGAAAACCTAAGGTCCTGCACACGTAAAACTAAAAGAATTCAATTACTGTCCAGGCAAAATTGTCCTATTAGCTCACTGTATGGCGTATACCTGTCTTCATTAGCCCAGTAGTTGCAGAAAAGTTGGTCGTTAAACATATTTCATTTATTAACTTTATAAATTTGTTTGTATATTTTCAGGTTCGAGTAAAAGACTTGTTAAACCCATTTCATTTATTAATTTTATAAATTTGTTTGTATATTTTCAGGTTCGAGTAAAAGACTTGCTTACCCAGACATGTCAGATAGATATCGATGATAGTTGGTATATAATAGTCTATGATCAATGTACCGAGGATCCTACATATTTTACAGATGATAATTTTGTCTACATATTACTCTCCAAACTAACACAAGTTTTTACCTATGTTACATTCCTGAAAGGTGAGTTTTGTCTTCACAACAGGGGGTCGGGTGGCTGAATGGTTTAATGTGTGCACTTTAGATCATAAGGACTGTCTTTGAGTCAAGTGGTGTGGTTGAGAGTCCACACTTGGAATAGGGTCGCCTGTCCGACCTCGTGGGTTATCTCGGGGTCCTCCTGTATTCCTCCCACTGCCAAAGACCCCTACGAGCAAGAGAATAATTGAATTCAAATTCAATCATATGTTAGTCCCGAAATGACCGAGTTTGTGTTGAGTGGATGTTTAACCCTTTAAACATTTGAGTCATTTGGTGTGGTTTGTTTCTTGAAAATTGAATACACAGTTACTATATATAGGTTATACCAGTCTGTCATAGTGTCATTGTCATTGGATATTTATGATCTGAAGTTATCTTGTATTGTTAGAAAAATATTACCACAATCTACGATAATTAATTCAAAAAATGTTTGACCAAGGGTAATAAACAATGATGGTTTGATGTGTCAATAAATCATGAGATAGAATGAGTGGTATAGGATTTAACCACAAGCAGTTGTTGATTAGCTACATGTCAAGATAAACAGATAGCCACATGTTAGCTTGTTTATATAATATAACTTATACAGACACATAGAAAACCACAGGAATGTCGAATAACCTTGGTTATCCCCCCTTTATTATGTCTTTCTATGATGGCTGGAAGAGGTTATTGTTAAAACATCTGCTGAAAGATCAGGATTTAGTTACGCAGCATATTACCGTACAACCACAATACACGAACTAAAATATTCCATTTTTTCTTCGTAATTGTTTTTAAATTACTCGCCACTAATGAGCTGTGACATCATTTGCTGCATTCACATCCTGCGGAATTAAGAATCTTGTAGCATTTATGGAACTATTTTTATGTTTAATTTCTCTTTTCGGTGCATTGAATGTTTCCAGTTTAATGTCAAAAGCTTTGAAGTAATTTAGTTTTAAGTGGGTTAATGTTTGTCGACAGCCAGTTTTTATGTAAGTTGTGGATTTCTCATGGTCTGAGAATGTATCTGCTAAGATTGTTTCGATTTACTGCACTTGATACACGTATATAGACCAAGAAATAAGATTAACTCCCCTTTGAAATAGTGTGTATAATGAGAACTTTTTTGGATCAAACTTTTATTTTGTGAAATTTATTGTTAAGGTGGGAAAGGAAAACTTGTAACTTTACTAAGCCAAAAAATATTTGGCTTTTGTCTAGTAAAGAAATATGTTAAACGATTCATACCATTAAGTTTGTATTTTATGTTGATTTTCAAATAATTGAAACTGTTTGATTAACAGAATCATTTGACCTGTTTTTGAAAAAGTCGATATTTATATCTAAACACAGGTTGCTATTCCCGGGCCCCCTCCCCACTTCCAAAAATTGTTAATGAGATAAAACACCATGTAAGGCATATAGAAGATCAAGCAGAAACTGAAGCTTTTATGTAATTATAACACCAGATATAAATGTCATAGGATTTGAATTAGAACTATTTTGAAATATGAAAATCAACAAACTATAACACATGTATTAGATGGTCATGTGTGAAAAGCTGATTAACTTATCTAAAAGTTTAACGTGTGTGCTTTAGATCATTATAAGGTCCATCATTGTATCAAGTGAAGTAATTGGATTACAAGGACAGCTGTCTAGTCCTTTGAATGATACGAAAAACCGAGGTCCCGTGTATACATTGGAATGCACGTAAAAGATCCCTTGGCAGTTGGAATTTGATATAAGAGTAGGTAATAGTGGCGCTGCCCGGGCAAAATTTCCGTCATAGCACACTGTATGGCGTATGCCCGTCTTCATTAGCCCAGTATTATAGCAGAACAGTAGGACGTTAAACCCCATTTCATTTCATTTTCATTTCATTTCATGGATTCCCCACGTGTACGTGACAAGGTGTAACCTGCCTAATCTCGTGGGTTTTCTCTGGGTCCTCCAGTTTCTTCCCACTGTTAAAGATCCCTATGAGCATGTGAATTATTGAAATAAAATTGAACCACTGTATGTTAGTCCCAAAATGACAAAGTGGCATAATTGGAGTCCTCACATGTACGTGACAAGGTGTAACCTGCCTAACCTTATGGGTTTTCTCTGGGTCCTTTAGTTTCTTCCCACTGTTATGAAATATTGAAATAAAATTGAACCACTCTGTATGTTAGTCCCAAAATGACCTCGTGTGTGTCGACGTTAAACCCCATTTTCTCTCTCTCACTTTATCTGAAAGTATGACACAGTTTTAAAATGGTTACAGGCATGCCACTATGGATCTGTTTAATGGAGACATGTTATTATAAGATATTGATTATTGTAAATGTATCATGTAATTATTGATATATATGTAGTTTTGAATTAAATGAATTTAGTTGGTCATATCTAAATAGATTATGCATTGAACATAATCAAAATGAAATGGGGTTTAAAGTCTTGTCAACACAATACTTCAGTTATTTTGAGACTAACATATGATTAATTTCATTAAGTGTTCAACATTCAATTTTTCCAGTTTCTGTCTGCCCTTCTAATTCAAATTGCAGGATAACTTGTGTATTAGATTTTAGATATAATCAAATAGTTCTTGACTTGAAAGTAGGTATATAACTAGATCTCTATGTAGGTACAGTAGTAACATTAGTTTGGTAGACTATCAAAGTTCTTGACCGATGACTAACAGATTAAACAGACAGTCATCTTGTTCAACTTGTACTCTTGTCTTGTTATAAGAGTAAATATATGTAGACCAGGCAAGGTGCTTGTTTCTACATCTGTAGGTATATAGTAGATTGACTTCATGTTCTACCTGTGTAGGTAAGATTGAATTACTTATGTTATTTCATCACAGGTGCTGCTTTAAGTCATCGCATTCGCTTTAACCATTTAGCACTTAGATCGCCTGAACCACCCTAAAACTGACCCCAAACCAGTAAAACTGAATGGTCCTATAATATGGAAATCTATTCACAAATCTCAGATGGTTTGAGGCGGTATAAGGAACAACAGTTTCGGCCTGTTAAGGAATGTACTGGTATTAATATATCACTTTTCTCTAATTTTCTTTCAAGGAACTGAAATAGTAAATATTTAATTGCACCAAATGCTAAAGGTTTAAATTTGTGATTCCTTCTGGTTTTGAACTAAAAGTCATCAAGTGTACAGGTACAAGGAATGGGCTCTGAGTTTTTAGTTTCTACAGGAACAATAAACGATTGTTGGTGAATAACACTAATACATTTCATTGTATGTTAATCCTATAATTTTGTATTATTTGACTATTTTTCAGGTGGTTTATTGGGTTTACAAGCAATGTACCCATCTTTAATAGAGAATAAAGATACAAGTGGTTATAAGTGTACCCCCCTAACCTCCTTATCTCAACCGTGTATGCCTGTTAGTAATGTGGGACCTACACGTATCCTCCCATTTTTATACCTCGGCTCTCAGAGAGATGCTTTATCTAAAGAAATTGTTCAGGTAATTGTTTCTTTGTTTGAAGAATAAGATTTACAAAAATGAATGTTAGGTCATAGAAAAAAAAATTTCCTGGTTCTCAGACAATCCTTACAAACACGTGTTTGTGTTGTTATTTTATCAAAGGACCTGTGCAAAGAACATTGATGATTATCCAGTGACCAGTATCATTTATGATTGTCAGTAACATTTATAAGGGTTGTATACTCGATAAACAAGGCTATTGCACATTTCTGGATTTATTCAATTGAAAAATATTTACATGTGGTAATTACATGCGGTAATTAGAGTAATAAAGCCCTTTTAAATGAAGTAGGATTATCTGAGAACCAAAATATTTTTTTTATATTGCCTTACTAAATTAGAATGATATCAATAACCAAATTGATCTTAGTCTTTTGACCGGTATTGATTATAAATAATCAGTGTTTGTTTAAAACAGAATATTATTGATATTTACCAAATGTATGATATTTTTTTATATTTTTAGGTCAATGGTATTACATATATCTTGAATGTAAGCCTATCATGTCCAAAGCCTCCATTTATTCAAGATGCACACTTTAAAAGAATCCCTATCAATGACAATTATAGTGAAAGGATGTTACCATTTTTCAAAGAAGCATTCCAATTTATAGGTAAGAAAGTGAAATAGTTATTACCAGACCTGGAAACAAAGATTATAGTCATGCATGGCAATGTGTTAAAGATATTAAAGATGCATTATGCAAGAGCTAAATCTGTTTATTGCAGGTGTTTCTTTAGGCCTGAAATGTTATCTAAATTATTAATTAGACATTAATTAACTTACCAAGACCATAATCAACTCTGGATGCCATCGAATGACTGCGATATTTAGTAGATTTAGATATATTTTGTGGTGTATGTGGTTACCGTAAAAATTAATAATCGTGACGTTTTATTATCGTAACAACTATAACAAAGACAATCAAGGCTGCAGTGTTATTGAAATGGGAATTTATTGACTCAGAGTGATGTAATTTGACTGAAATTTGCAGCATATTCCCTTCACATTATCTATTTTTTAACTATTATAGCAAGAATTTTCAGCTCTTTATCTTATCTTACCTAATGCCACTTTAATAAAAACACTTATATAATAGACAAATCGGTGCCTGACGAAATGACAGACACCTTCGATTTGGTACCTGACAAAACCATACTCTGTGCTTGACATTGTCTGTGACAGCTGCCTTATTTCCAGCATTGGTACAGTAATTACTTATTATCTACCAGTAATTAAGAAAATATCAAACTAAAGCTGTCC